CAATTTCCCGTTGTGTTCCTTTGTTTCTTCCCGCCACGACCCGAGAAAGTGTCATAGTTGAACAACGCAAATACAGTCCACACTCATTTTTGTATTAGGTGACCGTTACAATTTGGTCTACCAACCGCATAGCGCAACCATTATTTAGTGGTCCATTTCGAGCCGGATTCTGAATTACATCGTCTCATATTAGTAATCTAGCATTATTTGTATTTAATTCCATAGGGAATTAACGCACCGCAATTAAATACTTATTTAATATAGTAGAAAAACCCGATTTAGGTATTTAGTTATAGGTAGATTTAGATAGCCTAGGTAAACGCCATCTTTGTAGTCACACACATTCGCTAGACGCTGAATGCGTAGAAATTATTTTATTTAATTGGTTTTTTCGTATTCGAGCATCATGATATCGTAAGATTTACTTTGAACATTGTGATCTTGTGATTAGCTACCTTCCCATTATTTTTATGTTCACGGTTATTCACTGCTTCGCAACCGCATTTGAACATCAAATACCTACCAAATTGGTCTGTTTTGATTTATTTGAATGAATAACATAATACATATGTACATCGTTCGTGTTTAAATATTTGTATGTTATTATATTTTATTATCATTTTTGATTTAACTAGGACAGAGGATAACCTAGGTCGTTTAGTATTGTCTGGTTGTTTTATTCTCAACGCGCCAATAATAGCAACTTTTATAGTAGTAGCTGTCTAATATTTATAAAATATTATTATTAATTTATAAGACGACGAGCGCTGCGCTTGCACTCCGCCCGCGCCCCTCGCCCCGTCGTTCGTCCGCCCGCGTATAATATACTTTATTCACAAAATTATTTGATTTCCCGCGCTGTTTTGCAGATTTTATTTTGTTTCTTTACCTATTAGTTTTATTTAAATTTTAAATATGCCGCCTAAATCTAATAAATCCGAGAACGATTTGAAGCTTTTGTACGCTAAGAGGGATATGATTTATTCACGCGTGCAAACAATTTGTGATAATGCACTTAACATATCCGACTTAGCCATAAGAGACTCATTTCTTTGTTCTATTGAAAACATAGACGATTTGCGCGCGGATTTCGAAAATATCGTTCATAATATCAACGCATTGCAATTAGAACTAGATCCTGATTACGCCGTCAGTTACTCTGTTATGTCGTCGTTTGATGATCTATATTGCCGTATAAAACGTGTCGCTAAATCTTTAGAAAAAATACCTAGCGCCGGGTATTCGCAAACGGAACCTAAGTTCACCCGCGATAGACCTAGATTACCGCCTATCCACATACCCGAATTTAATGGGGACATCCGTAATTGGGGCTTATTTATAGATAGTTTTGAAAATACAGTAAATCAAAATGATCACTTAACCGATCACGAAAAATTACACTACCTAGTAGAAAAACTCACCGGCAAAGCCCGTGCGGCTTGCGCGGGAATTACGTTTAGTGCCGAAAACTATTCTTTGATTTTGAACACACTCAAAGCCAAATATGAAGATAAACGGTTGATAGCTACCGCGTACTTGGATCAGTTGTTTGAATTAAAACCTATTTTATCGTGTACCGAACAGAATTTGGAGAAATTCTTAGACATATTTGCATCATCTGTTCGGGCTATTAGAAATCTCAACGTCGATGACCTCAGCGACTTTTTATTTTTGTACATTGGCTTAAAAAAGCTAGATTTCGAAACTGTTCGCTTATTTGAAACGAATCAGGGTACTAAGGGTATTGAATTACCGAAATTTAATGAATTGGAATCATTTTTACGTAATCACATAAGAATACTTCAGCGTACTACGCGACCTCACGAGGTCCCGAAAAGACAACCAGAAAGACATTTAGAAACGTCCTCAAGACCGCTTAGAACGACTCATAGCTATGTAAATACCGCGGCGTTGCCTGCGTCCGTGCCCGCCAAGTCGACTTGTTTTCTGTGCAAATCTTATCATACACAGTTGTATCAGTGTGCTGGGTTTTTGAAATTGTCGCCTACAAATCGTTATAATTTTGTTCGCGCAAATAACTTGTGTTTAAACTGCCTTAGTGATAAACATCGCGTTGGTGTGTGTAATAGTAGCCACAGTTGTCGCAAATGTTCGTTGAAGCATCATACCTTGCTT